GGGAAAGAGCAGAGATCTGTGGCAGAAGCTGAACCCTGAACTGAGCTCTGAAGATGGCAATAATTTATTGTTGCGGGTGTCACCTCCTACCACCCGCCAGTCTGTGAACTCCCTGAAGAAAGAGGCTGCGTTTTTGCACATCTCTTTCTCTCCAGGATCCGATATAGCGTCTGATACACGGTGCACTCAATTAACAGCTGCTGCCGAAAGAGATTAACAAAAAAAGTAACCGGGTTTGGGAGTGGAGGTCACGTCCTCTTTCTCTTTGATGTCTGAGCTCCTAGCACAGCTCTGGGCATGTGGATGACAACTGAGCCGCACCTCGTTCCTCAGTGGGGGTGGGATCTGGGATGAGTGGACCATGACACCTTTCCCCTGGCTTAGCACGCTGGGCGGGTCGCGTCTGAGCGACCGCTGTGGACTAAACCAACTGCCCAGTGCCCAGGCAGGCTTGGGGTGGGGAAGGGTGAAGGAGGGGCAGCGACGATGCCGACAGGGGGCGGGAGGGGGAGGGAAAATGAGGAAGGGGCAAGGAATGGGCAAGAGTGGCAGAAGCCCCCTACCCTCTGGCCTACTACCCTGTGAAAAAACTCAGATGGCATCCGAGAGGCACTCCCCCAGTTCATTCACTGGTGTCTCCCCTCAATAAGCACTGGCTGGGCCCCAGCAGTCGGCTGGACACAGCCTGGCTCCCTCAGCGCACACGGTCTACGGTCAATACCGGGCAGGAGGGCGCAGATGTGCCAACACCTGAGTGCACCCCACTCTCTCCTGGTGCCACAGAGGAGGGGGTGTCCATCTCAGTCGGAGTACTGAATAAAAATCTGGTGGTCTCCAATAAAACAAAGAGAACAGGAAAGGAAGCTCAGGTCGAATGGAGGTCACTCATTGACCAAGGGCCTGAGGGGTTCAGCCATGTGGCTGTCTCACCGAGAACAGTTTGGAGTGGCAGGACCTCTGGGTGGGCGGGGAGAAGCCAGCGTAGAATTAGGGCCAGAGAGAGGCCGGAAGAAGCCAGACCCCAGTGGCCTCTTGGCTGGTGAGGAGTCTGGACTTTCCTCAGTGGCCCGTGGGGAGCTTTTGCAGCATCTCTAAGCCGGGAGGACTTTCCGTTTCCAGCAACGGCCCTGGCTGACGTGTGAAGCACGGATAAAGGGGAAGCTCAAACTGGAGGCAGGGAGGCCAGGGAGGCCACGGAGGACGTGGCAACCTGCCCAGCAAGTTAAGACATTGAGGACATGAGCATCCACGGGATGGACTTGTGAGGGGGGTGAAGGAGAGACAGAACCAAGAGGATTCCCAGGCTCCTGGCTTGGATTTCTGGGTCCTCTGGGATGGAGGACCAGGAAGGCCCAGATCTGGGAGAAGGAGGGATGCTCCTTCAGATGAGTGGATCTGAGGAGGTGATGGCCGGCTCATTTGGGCATGTGAGACTGGAACAGAGGAGAGCGGCCTCGATGGAGAGTCATCAGGACATACTGGTAATTGTGACCATGGATATGTCCCAGATGGCCAAGGAGGGACGGGGCAAAGAAGCAAAAGAGAAGACTGCCTACGTCAGAATCCAGGGGACCCGTCCCCGTGAGGAGTAAGCAGAGCCAGAGGAGGCTGCACGTGCAAGCTGGGATGTCCAGGGAAGCAGAGGGAACAGGGGTCCAGAGGGGAGGCGGGGAGGAGGGTCACCATCAGCACAGGCTGAGGTCACTCCTTGAGTCGTGCATCTGGTCACTGAGTGGCTTGGAATGACAGGACCTTGGGGCAAGCAGAGGGGTGGGGGGACTGCAGGTGAGGGTGCCCGAAGGAAGCTGTCTCCGCAGAAAGAAGGAAGGCAGTAGCTGGGGCTGGAGTAATTGTCCTAGGCCTCTTTCTCCCCACACCAGCCCTGCACTAACCCCTTGCTTTCTGCCCCAAGCCCTCTGTACCTCTTTCCCGCATGTCCATGTTTGCAGGGCACCATCACCCCTGAGCCACCTGTGGCCCTGTGTTTGTCATTATCGACCCCGTGGCTGACGGTCGGCCCGGGTGCCTTGTGTCCCTCCCCTCTGGGAGCTCTCTGGGCCGGGCCTCGTCAGGGTGGGCCGTTCAGCCCGACCTCACCCACCCACCTTCCCCCACCACCCCCAGTCAGGGCCTTGGCAGGTGCCACCCTCAGAAACCAAGCCAGAATCAAAAATACATTTGCAAGAAAGTGGGAAACTTTATTGAATTAGCTTTTCTTTTCAGTAGAGAAGCCGAGGACTCAGAGGAGGCAGGTCAGGGGGAAGAGGAAGCAGACCCGGAGAGAAGGGCAGGGAGTGGCTGCCCTTGGGAGGGTGCAGGCCGAGAGCGGAGTGGCTGAGCCTCGGGTCCTGCAGTCCCTCCTTTGCTCCTGCAGGGAACCGTCAGCTCTCTCCTCTGGGCGCTGAAGACAGAGCGAGGGGCTGCCCGGCAGATTTAAGGCTTATTTTTTTCTGGAATGCGGCGAGTGGAGGTGGTGCCGCTAGTAGAGATGGTGCTGCCGCGGCTGATGGTTCCTGGGAAATGGAAGAGGCAAAAGACCTTCAGGCTGGAGAAAACCCAGCTCGGGCCAGCTCAGGCCCCCCAGGAGGGCCCCAAACCCTTAGTCAGTCTGGTGGCGTGGTGGATAGTTGATGGGGACTCTGTGTTATTGTCTGGGGGACTCCCTCCATGACAGCCCCCAGTCTGTGGGGCTGTGGGGACAGAGCCACCTATTTTGAAAGGAAAACAGAGGAGCAGGTGACCACTTCTGCTCCAGTACCATCCCCACTCCCTACACTGGGGAACCCAGCACTGCTGCCCAGCCCGCCCAGGGGGGCCGTAAGAAAGAGCCTCATCACCTCTCCCACTAGGTTATTTCCTTACCTCCTGTGGTGTAGCCGGGAAGCCTGGGAGAAAGGAGAGAGGCAGCCATGAGTGGAAGGCACCTGAGGACAGCCGCCTACTTGTCCTCAGATGGAGTCTCTCAGATCATCACTTTGAGCCCCTGAGTTGGGCTCTTTTCCCAGCTGTGCCCCCAGCCCACAGAGCAGCAGCATCAGGTGCCTCCCAGGCCTGTCCTGTCTGTCTGTGAAGCCTCAGGAGGAGATATTATCAGGCATTTGCTGGATGTTTTGTCCTCCCTCTGCTTCACTCGACCCCTTACCCCTCCCTTGATCCCACAAGGATGGCCTGATCCCTGCAGATAGTCTGAAGGCAGTTAAATCTCTATTTTAACAGCTTTGTTGGGCTGCCCTGAATCCAAGCTAACACTTTTCCAATATGAGATATTTTCTCCATTGTCCTTAGTCCTGCCAGTCTAACCCGGAGGCCCGAATTAAAACGTCAGAAGAAATGCCCCTACAGTCTGATGCCGGAAGACAAGAAGGAAGCGCTGGTCCTGGATCTTGGTCCAGGCTGTTGAAGCTCAGACAGGTGTCCTTTCCTCCCAGACACAAGGGCCTGATCGCTAAGGCCCTGCCTGCTCTGACAGCCCAGGGTCCCGCAGTCAATTTCCCACATGACCTACTTGGCGTCCTGGCCCTCCAGCAGGCTGCGGTAGGTGGCGATCTCCTGCTCCAGCCGCGCCTTGATGTCCAGCAGCATCTTGTACTCCTGGTTCTGGCACTCCATCTCACTGCGGAGCTCGCTCAGCTGGGCCTCGATGCTGCTGATGAAGCCCTGGATCTGCTGCAGCTGCAGGGCGTAGCGGCACTCGGTCTCCGCCAGCGTGCTCTCCAGCCCGGCTTTCTGGTGGGGCAGGAGAAGGTCAGAGGAGAGCCGGGCCAGGGGGAGGGGCCTAGAGGGGGCAGCCGCTGGGCAGGGGCAGCAGGTGTACCATGCTCAGCTGGGACTGCATCTCAATCTCCAGACCCTGGAGCGTACGCCTGAGCTCCGTGATCTCCGTCTTGCTGGTCTGGATAATGGCAGTGCTGGAAGACACCTCCTTGGTCAACTCTTCACTCTGGAATTCAAGCAGGACCAAGGTGATGGAAGAGCCCAGCTGGAGGGCCCGAGCACCCCCTGGCCCAGCTAGGTTAGAGGGCCAGGTACCTTGCTGTTGAACCATTCCTCGGCATCCCGGCGGTTCTTCTCCGCCATGGCCTCGTACTGCTCCCTCATCTCCGCCAGCACGCGGCTTAGGTCAATGCCTGGGGTGGCGTCCATCTCCACATTGACCTGGCCAACCACCTGGTTTCTCAACTCCTTCATCTCCTGTAGGGACGGAAAAGGAAGATGCATGAAGCTCCTCAGCCTGCCCCTCCTCGGCTCTGGATGCTACTGGAATGTTCTGGAAAGTGCTTCCAGGTCCCACAGTGGAGGGCTGAGCCTGGCTGCAGCAGAGGGCTCCCCGTCATCACTGAAGGTGATTCAGCCATGGCAAGCACAGCCCACCTCTCACCTCCTCATGGTTCTTCTTCATGTAGGCCAGCTCCTCGTTCAGGTTCTCAATCTGTATCTCCAGGTCGGTCTTCATCAGGGTCAGTTCGTCCAGCACCCTGCGCAGGCCGTTGATGTCGGCCTCCACGCTCTGGCGCAGGGTCAGCTCGTTCTCATACCTAAAGGATTTTTAAATTGAAAAAACAACATAGAGGGCTTCCCTGGTGGCACGGTGGTTGAGAGTCCGCCTGCCGATGCAGGGGACGTGGGTTCGTGCCCCGGTCCGGGAAGATCCCACATGCCGCGGAGCGGCTGGGCCTGTGAGCCATGGCCGCTGAGCCTGCGCGTCCGGAGCCTGTGCTCCGCAACGGGAGATGCCACAACAGTGAGAGGCCCGCGTACCACAAAAAAAAAAACAAACAAACAAAAACATAGAAATGGTATGAGCACAAGTCACCCATTCTCCTTACTTAGCCCTGCAATAAACCTTTCGCTGCTCCAATAAAAAAAGGAAGGAAGGAAGGGTGGGGGAGGAAGGAAGGAAGGAAGAAATGGTATTAGACACTCCACTACCCCTGCACTGGACTCTGCTACTTCTGCGAGACCTTCCCTCCTGGGATACTCTGGTTACATTGTTCAGAGGAGCATTTGTCTAAAACTATAACTGCTGGGAAAGGGGAGTGAGGGAAATAAACTCACTTGAGCCTGAAGTCGTCGGCAGCCAGCCTGGAGTTGTCAATCTCCAGAATGATCCGGTTGTTGTCAATGGTGGCCGCCAAGATCTGCAAAATACAGAAGGTAACCAACCACTGGAGGGTCCACAAGCTGGGGGAGCAGGACTGAGAAAACACGGGCAGGACGGGTGGCCATCAGACTCTGCCTGTTCTCTGCCCCTGCGAGCTGGGACAGGGCACTTCTCTCTGGGCCTCAGTTCCTCTTCTGTAAAGTGAGAGACAGGACGGGTCCCCTTGGTTTGTTCTGTCGCTCCATCATTCTATGTCTGGTCATGGTGGGAAAGATCGGGATGTACATTTCAGGGGAACGACCCCGCCAAGAACATCTGTGGTTAGTCACGTCTCTGCAGCGTCAGACTGGCAACCTCTCGTGGCCGCTGTCTTGAGGGTCTTTCTTCTCCTCAAGATCAGGACAGAATCAGCCCGGCCCCCCACAGTTCATAATAACATCACCGGAGCTGGCCTCCCCTCTGAGCAGGGTGGAATTCCAACAAATATCTCCATCCATTTGAATTTCTTGTCTAAACTTTTGTTAGACATTTAAACAAAAGCATTTAAAATCCACCCCACATAGTTGGGACTCAGCCCAGGCAGATGGATTTCTGTTCCAACAAGCTGGCATCACAACGTGATGGACAGGCCTTAACGGAGAGAATCTCAGCTTAGCACTGCCTAAGCCTCTGCCTGCATCTCCCCTACCTGGTCGCTGCCAATTGAGAATGCCAGTTTAAAGGAGGTCCCTAGAAAATAGTGTTCCCAAACCAATGAATGAGCACGCATTCCTTTCTCTGTTGGTTTTAGCCAACAGAGAAAGGTTTTAGATTCTTAGTGGCTTTGAAAACTTCCAGAATAACCCAGCACAGCTTCCAAATGACCCAGTGGGCTAGGATTATAGAGATCAAGTCAGTAATAACATAAATGGAAAGCAGTAAAAAAGGTTGGCATGAGTAAGAACAATAAAAATGAATAATGGGAGAGAACGCATAGCCTGAGAAAGCCCGTCGGGAAGAGAGATGCTTGATAGGCAGTAAAAGACTAGATTTTCCCCCAAAGAAAGGGTACGAATTCTGCCCACACTGCATCTTCTGGTCCCTGGGGACCCTGCCATTGCGTCTCTGCCCTGCTCAGAGGAACCCTCCTCGACCTGCAAGGACTCACCTTGTCCCGGAGGTCCTCGATGGTCTTGAAGTAGGCGCTGTAGTCGCGCTCCGGGCTGGTTGGGCTCTGCTTCAGAAGCCAGTCGCGGATCTTCACCTCCAGGTCAGCGTTGGCCTCCTCCAGGGCACGCACCTTCTCCAGGTAGGAGGCCAGGCGGTCATTGAGGTTCTGCATGGTGAGCTTCTCGTTGCCAGAGAGGAGGCCGCCACCGCCACCACTGAGGCCGACGACAAGGCCACCACCATATCCTCCACCGAAGTCACCAAAGCCACCACCAAAACACCCACCAAAGCTGCCACCTCCAAGGCCACCTCCAAAGCCCCCACCCAAACCACTACCAGCCCCTCCACCAAAGCCGCAGCTTATGCCACCCCCAAAGCCCCCAGCTGATCCCCCAGAGCAAAACCGCGTTGAGCCGCTAGAGATACTGCGACCTCCTCCCAGCTTGCAGGAGCCACCCCCATAGCTAGCGGAGGAATTCTGCAGGAAACAGCTCATGGTGAGAGCGAGATGGGCAGAGAGCGCTGGTGCGGTAGGATCTTGGCTTGGCCTGGCTGAGGACTGTGGCTCTTCCCCAGAGTGGATGCCTTTTATACACCTTCCAGGGGGTTGGACGGTTGCCCCATCTTCTCTCCTCCCTTCCCCACCCTCTGACTGGTGCCAACTGCACGTCTGTTTCCCACAAGCTCATCACCTCTGTTCTCCAGGGTGGGTTGTGCCACTGGGGGAGGGGGCATTTTTTTTTTTTCTTAATCCTTAACAAAAGTGATGATTCAGAGGCAACAGTGTTCTACTTGAGACTACCCTTTCAAAACTGAATTCTGTCTCACCTCTCCACTTAGGGAACTCACTCCCATCGGCCCCACCCAATGTTAGAACCGGGACTGAGCTGCACCGGTCTGCCAGGGAGCCTCTGCAGAGGAAGGGTGGCTGCAAAGTGGCCCTGCATTGTCACTTCAGCCCTCTGCTCCCCTTCTTCGTGTTTCTAAAAGGTCTGACTGGAATGTTCTGCGTCTTTCTCAGCATTTTATCTACTCCAGCGCTCCCAGCAACAACACGAACTTTGCTTGGTCCTGTAGAATCAACGACCTTGAAGGCTTTTAGGCTGAGAAAAAAATGGCTCCAAGACCATCAGGTAAAGTCATGGCGGCAAGGGACCTTAGGGACCATGCAACACAATTTCCTCAGCTGGGGAAACTGAGGCATAGAAAGAGCAAGTAGCCCTGCACATTATAATAGCTAACACTCTGAGATCCCTCACCATATGCAGGCACTGGGCTAAGAAATTTATAGTGACTGCCTCATTTAATCTTTGCAACAGCCCAATAAGGTGAGTACTCCTATTATCCCCATTTTACACAGGAGGAAACTGAGCCTTAAGGGCAGAGTCAGGACTGAAACCCAAGTCTGGTCCTGTCTACACTAGGCTCAATTTTTTAGGCATTTTTTCCTACAGTAAAATGGACAAATCATAAGCATCCAGCTTAATGCATTTTTACCCACGTATGAAAATTTAAGCGTGTGTTTACTTGTGTAACCACCACCCAGAACATTTCTAGCACCCCATAAAGCTCATTGTACCTTTTCCCAGTCAATCGGCCCCCGTACACCCTGTGCCCCTAACATACCCATAATTCCAACTCTGTCACCATAGATCAATTCGGATGTTCTCAGCCAGGGGCTATTTTGCTCCCCAAGGGACGTTTGATAGTGTCTGGAGACATTCTGGTTGTCACAACTGGGGGATGCTACCGGGATCTGGAGGATAGACACCAGAGATGCAGCTAAATATCCTACTGTGCATGGGACAGCCCCTGCCCCAAAGAATTCTCCAGCCCAGAAGGTCAGTAGTGTCGAGGTCAAAAAGCCCTAGGTCAGCCTGGCCCATGGGTTTAATTACTCCATTATAGCAGCTGCAGAGCCATAGCCACGTCCAGAAAGGAAGTCTTGCAATACTGAGTAGGGCTCTTTCTAGCCCCCCAACCACATGACACCGGCCTCAGCTTGTGAGTGTTTGACCAAGAGGCCACATAGAGGATATGACCCAGAGCCTGGGGCCAGGGTCTCTGCCGAGGAGCCTGGGATGTGACTGAAACTCAGGGTCTGCTTAGGAAGCCAGCGGAGGAGGCCTCACCACTCAGGCTGAAAGAAAAAAGAAACGGGCCTTGAGCTGGCCTCTCAGAAGCCCGGGAGAGGAGAGGTTCCAGGGCTGAGAGTGCAGGACACTGGACTCGGGCTCAAAGCCTCCACTCACCAAGGGGGCCAAGGTTGCCGTGAACGGCCTCCTGGGAGCTGCCCGTCCACAGCAGCCTGAGGGGCTGGGTGGGATAGGCCAGGAGCTGGAGTGAGATGACACAGGCTTGAGGTTGTCCTGGAAGCCCCTTCGCAGATTCAGCAAGACCAGAAAGGAGGGCTCGGAGTCAGGGCTTTCTTGGCCTCTGTTTTCTATGGGTAGGGAAGTGGGCCTGCGTCTCCCCCAGTGGGTGTCAGTGTCAGGGAGAGAGCCAGGCCAGGCTGCGGTGCTCTAAGGCCACGGGGAGGCCAGAGACTCAGGCTGACCCCTGACCCTTCCCCGCCCTCCTGCCCAAACTGATGGCTCAGCTCTCTCTCTGAAAACGTGTGATTCAGCCCAAAGCAGGAGCCCTCCAAGAAGGTAATTAATGGAACCTGCCAGACCTGGAATGACAATCCTCCTGGGGCTGAAGAGCAAGTTTAGCCAACGCCTCTTAGAGGAACAATAACCACAGATCCTCCAAAGCCCCACGGTGGCCAGGACATGCCTCCCTCACAGGGTCAGGGCACAGCCCCTCTGCACCTGTCCCGAGCAGGGTATGTAATGCCTTGACACAGGAATACCCTCCTCTGACCCAAAGTGAACCCCAGGGCCCATGGGGCGGGGGGACACATGCCAGCGCTACTGACGGGAGCTAGGTAGATACCCATCCTGGGGACCCCATTTCTCCTCTCCCAGCCCTTGTCCAAGTGGGGCAGGACAGAGTGCTGGGCCTGAGGCACTGCCCACATGTCTAAAGCTTCCTTCCTTGCGTTCTGGCAAAATCACCTCTGCTATAACGTTTCCAGGGAAGGGGAGGGGAAGCCCCATTTTTGAGTGACCCCTGCAGAGGAATCTGAGCTTAACAGGTTGTCACACAACAACAGGAGAGGGGTTTTATTCGCCCCATTTTATAGATGAGGCAGCTGAGGTTCAGGGAAGCTAAGTCACTCGTCCAAGGTCACCATGAAGTCCAGATTTAAACTGGCATCTGGCTGTCTCTACCCCACCAGTTGGTGTCTTGGAGCCTTGCTGCAAACTCGGTGTCTGATCTCTGAGGGTTCCATTCTGTATGTGTTAAAAGATAATAAAATACCACTAGCTAACATTTGTGAATACTGTGTGAGACATGCTACATGCATGACTTCATCTGGTCCTTGAAACAACTCTGCTATTGTTATTGTATCCTTTTTCCAGATGAGGAAACGAAGGCCCAGAGAGGTTAACTACATTGCCCAAACTTGAGTATGTCAGAGCCAAGATTCAAACCTCTGGCTCTAGGGTCTGCACCCTTAACTACTGCCTGGTCAATCCCTTTCAGGCCAGGGTTAGCGCTGTCCCATCCAGAGGGCCTTCTCTCTTGCCCTCTCCATTCTCAGGCCTCCTGTCACCCAAGACCCAGCTGGTGGATGGTCCTGCATCCCACAGTGGTTAGGCCTGTGCAGCTGTTGGTTTGATGGTCAGCCTGTCTGGCCTGATGTGAGCTCCAAAGCTCAGGGGCTTGTAAGGGTACTTACTCAACGCAAAATGTCAAAGCCTAAACTGTCCTAGGAAATTCCCCAACCAACTCCTTCATTTCTCACGTGGGAAAACTGAGACCCAGAATGCCAAGGCCCAGGGCAGCGGGAAGGGAAGAGTTTTGCATGGATCTCTAGCTCTAACACTGATTCATTGTACATATGGTGTACATATGGGGGTACATATGGTGATTCATTGTGGGCCTTACGTTGAAATGGCTTCTAAGTTTCCTTCAGCAATGCCTTCTGAGGCTCTAGTCCTCAAAAATTTATCCAGAGTCACCAGATTGTTCATCTGCAAAGTTGAGGCCTAGACCTCATCCCCCAGCTCCTATCCCAGCGTTCCTTGCTTGAATCTTGGATCAGGCTCCTCCCTCCTTCCCTCTCTCCCTGGACAACAGGGGGCCTGGAGCCCAGGCTGGCTGATCACCTCCCAAAGGGTCCTAAGGCTCCCCCACAGGGGAGGGGTCTCTTGTGAAAGGCAGACCCACCCCAGACGGTGGACCCGGGCCCTCTGTCAGCCCTCCACCCTCAGAGACACCTGCTTGACACAGCAATCCTCAGGAGCCTTCTCCAGACTAGCCTCAAGGCCTCAGGGCTTCACGTTTCTACATAATCAGCTTTCTAAAATCCCTTTTATACCACCAGGGTTCCCCAGAAACCCAGCGAGGCCAGCAAAGGCTTTGAATTAGGTGGACCTGTTTCAACCCTACTCCTGCCACAGACTGGCTGTGTGACCTTGGGAAAGTTACTCAACCTTTCAGTGCCTTGGTGACTGCAACTGAAAAATAGGCATTAGATGAGTTAGTATTTGAGAAGCACCTGACCCACAGGAGCACCCGGCAGGCGGAAGGTTACTCTTCCCTCCCTGTTACAAGTGAGGAAATGCGAGCTTCTCGTTGTTAGATGACCCGGCGGAGAATTCTTCTGGGCCTCCTCCATCCAGTGCCAGCTCATTGCTTTGCCTCCCTCTCTGGTTTCTGCAGCCAGCACGGCACGCACAGCAACCAGACATGTGACAGTTGGTGTCATTCCTGTCTT